ACTAAATTATTTGTATGGGTACTACAGATGCGGAATGGGGATAAAATGGCGGAGCGATCTTGGTGACCGCGATGATAGATTAAGCTGGAGTAAATGGAATATCTGTAATCGTGGAAATGAAGCTTGATTAGTGCACACGGCGTATGTATCTGGTACAGCACAGTCAGCAAATTTCCACGGCACGCATCCCACCCCACAACCCGCCTGTGTAACTCTGGGCAGATATAGCGGGCATAGTTTTATACAGAGTATGGCACTAGGCAGACCGACGCCAGTGCCATGACCAAGGGAACACCCGAAGGGAGAATAAAAATTTTCATGCCACCGAAATGGCGTCAGGACGACACTCATACAACATGGCTGTCGGAATGTGGCAGCTAATGCTTTTCTCTATGGCTCTGCAACCTTTGGGACCTTGGCCGCTTTTTCAGTTTCGTTGATCGTTTACACAGTCGGTAGGACTTCTTGGACCGGGGATCAGCCCGTCACAAGGCCGCTACCTGCACAAAGAACAACTCAAACACGGAATAAACGCACACAGACATCCATGTCTTAAGTGGGACTCGAATCCATGATCCCAGGATCCGAGCGAACGAACACAGTTCATGCCTTAGACCGCGCGGCCACTGTGAGCGGCAGAAAGTAACATATAACACAGGCAGTTAGTCGCCGTGTTTCCACAGCGGTGGCTCGGGTTCGAGTTCGGGTCAGGTTATGTCGGATTTGTGGTGGACAGAGTGGCGCTGGGGCAGGATTTCTCCGAGTACTTCGGTTTCCCCTGTCAACCTTCATTCCACAGTTGCTCCTCAATCACCCTCGCCTATCATCTGGGGCTGGTACAATAGGCCAGAAGTGGCCTCAGTACAAGGGACTTAGTCCCACCCCAATAGCAATAAAAGAACTGTCTAACACACAGTATACAGAGCTGCTGGGTTCTGCAACGTAGAAGTACTACATGTATGTAATCCACAGACCCATCAAACATTTGCAGCAGAAAGGCATGTTTTAAATATTGCCCTAAATTTCGAACTCAGAGTAGCATTCACAGTTGTTTTAGTGACATTTCATAAATTTGTGATTTTATTTATCATTCAAAATATTATCGATATGCACTTGTTAACGTTAGAATATTTCGCTTTTGGTTTTTCAAACAGGCTCTGGCAATTATTTCAAGATCACCTGGTATATTTGTTCTATGCGTAAGTTGGTGTCCTGTGTATGTTCCTGACTACTGTCAGTACAGTTACAATTCCTCTGTACAGAAGTACGGAATAGGGAAATGACAAATATATTGATACATTTTCTGGTGCAGTAGTCGTTTTCATGATTTTAACTAAATCATACCTTATTTATGCAGAAACCTTCTGTACAGCACTGACAGAGCACTTAATTGCATTCTGTTTCATGAATATACTAACCACTGTACTGCATGTGATTAGAGATTTTTGTGGGATTGGTTAGTAATTGCTGAGAAATTTATGTCCATGAATAATACATTCAATCCATTTCTGTAAAAGCAATTTCTTTTTCAATTTAAAACAGTCGTTCCCCCAGTGGTGAAGAACACAAAACCTTCGACCTCGTTCGAATCTTCTAAGACCCAACAAAGGAAATAGAATATTTCGTTAAAAAAATTAAATTCTGTTTAAACGTACGTTCGTTTGCAAGAAGAAACACGTACCTACATCGAGCAGTTTGTCTGAGCGGGAACCAGACTGAAGTTCATTTGAGACTTACCACATTTTTGTCACCTCCCCCATAGAATTTGAAGACCAAAGTAAACCGAACAGGTTGGTATAGTGGTAACGCTCTGGGCTTGTATTCTAGAAGTGCTCTGTTCAACTCTCTGCGTGTATTTCGGCTATACTGCCTTAGGTTTCTCGCGGTATTCCTCAGTTTTCCCCGGTATATGTTGGAAAATTACCGCAGTTAAACGTCTTCTAGATCCTTTCCAATTGCTATTCGCAGATTATCCTACCACTTGACGTTTCATAATCTGCGATAATTACGTACATGTTTTTACCTTCCTTGCAGTCTTATTCCGGCGAATTTCAACTCATTTCTCGCCTTCAAACACTTTATTTTTTAAGAACAATTTTAATAATATCCTTTGTTTAGGTTTCATTTTTGAAAGTTGTACACCAAGAAAATTTGCAGCGAAAGACCCAACAGTGTGGTACGTATTACAGAAATATTTTGGTTTTCAATGGTATCGAAAACACATTTAGAAATTTATCTGGAATACAGAATTTTCTTTCGCGGCCGGCGGGTAAGGCTGACAACCTTGCCGCCATCTATGAGCTGATTGTCTAGATAATGTGGGACCCTCAACGTCTCACAACCCTATGGGTCTTCACGGCCTGGTACAGGGATAGCTTTACTTTACTTTTTACAGGAGCTTAAAATTTTGTAAAGCTGTCAGCTAGGACAGTTTGGACACCGCGAATATAATGTGACCCTTGTGTATATCGTTAGAAATCAGAGTGCCAGAGCAAGTAGAAATGCACTTGAATCACTCTTGCATTAGTGTGTGTGCGGGAGGTCTGTAGCATTCGGGTGCTGTCCTAGGTACTGCTAATAACATTTGGTTCTGCGCTAGGCAGAGTTGGAGGTCCGCCCGTGGGAACGCGAATAGAATTCAATGTGAAATGTCCAGAGGCAGGTAGAATGCTTCCTAATGACACACGCTCCACTCTCTTTGTATTACGTCTCTTTCAACGACATTATTTAGAGCTGTGTGTATATTCACCCAATTGCAACCACGCCCATTCCAGTTTAAGCTTCCGAATACAAACATACGGATGTCACGCGTGGACTTGAATCTTCAGTCTCTGCTTTGATGAGGATGACACTCCACATTCTAGAGAGTTAATGAATGCAGAAACCACAAAATGTGCTACATCCGCTATATAACAAAGGTACCCGTGCGTGTTTATAATTGATGCAAACAACATTTGCTGGAATGTGAAGAAATATTCTTCTTGAAGAAAGCAGTCTTCTGGGATTTGGCACCGTGTATATGTGGTGCCAAACCCCAGAAGACTGCTTTCATCATAGTCACCGCCGTGAAAGCCTCAAATCTTACAGAATATTCTTCTTCTTTCTCTTCTGTTCCTGTTGCTCCCATTTGGAGCATCTGACATCTGCTAAACGCTTCGTTTCACTTCAGTTTCTTAATGTAAGATAGCCGGTAGGACACTTTGGATAAGGGATCAGCCCCTTGCATGGCCGCTACATAACATAAACACAAACAGACATCCAGGCTTTGAGTGGGCTTCGAACCCGCGATCCCAGTTTACGAACAAGCGAAAATGTTTGATGCTTCAGACTACTCGGCCCCTGAGATCGGCAGCGAGTTCATATTCCGTTACTTAACAGTCTGATTGCGTCCGTCTGTTGACGTATGTTGCGAGATATGGACATATCTATAATGCTTCAATTGTGAAGATGTGTTTGAAATAAATTATACCCACATTTTATTCTTTCTCAAATGAATTCATTGCTTTGCGGTAGCGTAGTTGGTTGAGGCACTATGCTACAAGCCTGAAGGCCACGGATTCAAGTCCCTATGAAGTCATTGGAATTTTTTCAATTGTCCTAATCCTTTGAGCCGCACTATGGCCCAGGGGTCGACTCAGCCTCTAACAGAAATGAGTACCAGGAATATTCTTGAAATATTCTTGGGGGTAAAGTGTGGCCGGCGCGTAAGGCTGACAACCTTACCGCCATCTATGAGCCAATTGTCTAGAAAATGTGGGAGCCTCAACATCTCACAACCCTATGGGCCTCCCCGGCCTGTTACAGTGCTATATTTACTTTAATTAATTAATTAATTAATTTTAATTCGCTAGTAGGGGGTGGAGTCCAGCTGGATCCACTCGGCACGGCGGCCACTGATTGGCTTATTGTACTTGCCCCGGGTGATTATGATGATGGAGATTTGATGGAATGAAGATTGACAGGGGAAACCAAAGTACTTGGAGAAAACCTGTCCCAGCGCCTCTTTGTCCACCACAAATCCCACTTGACCAGACCCCGGATCAAACCCGGGCCTCCGCGGTGGGAAGCCGGCGACTAACCGCTTGAGCTATAGCGCGGCCATTTCTTTACTTTAGTTTACTTTACTTTACTTACTTTAATGATAATGAAACTCCTTTATTTACAGCAAGACTCTCTGTTTTATTGAGGACTAAATCGGGAACAATGGACCTATTTTAACAACTGTGGCCATGGGCCTATTTTTTCTGCAGATGCATCTATTTATTCATAGTTTTTGTGTGATTGTGAGCTGATATCACGATTAGTTTTACCTCTGCTATTGGAAATAAGTTTGTACACCTATGTACAGTTTGAGGTGTTGACAGCATAGTTTATAAAGGACTCTGCCTTGTAGAATATAACGTTATGTAGACCGTTGAAAGTCAACTGATATTTCGGAGCAAAATATTGCCTCCATCTTCAGCAGTGAAGAACAAGTAGAGTTATATATCTTGCCTTCCTTATGCTGGTTTCTTACTTGGATAATTTTTCAACCTTGAAAATGGAGGTGATGTTTCCCTGCGAAGCGCCTGTTGGTTTTCAAAGTGCTACATCGCATTATATCCCAGAATACAGAACTCGTCATTTTTGTTTTGTTAGGCGGTTTTGTTGTTAATTTGTTTTGTGGAAGAGATTCCCTATTAATAAATACACGTACGTCTGCACGTGGCTGGTACGTAGTGATAAAATACCTAAAGTACTTTAAAAGGTATTTCTCATACCCAAATGTACTACAATTCTGTGAACCCGCAGCTTCATGAGCTAAGCATAGAACGATATCTATGCCTGCGTGCCTGGTTGCCAACAAACTCTCTTTGCATTGGTCGGTTCTTGAATTACGTAAATGGATGTCTGAGTATTGGCGAATCCAATAGCTGGAGACAAAATGCATTATGAGAGCCTAAAGGCTGCACTCAGATTTCTAGCTTGTTTATCCTAAGGAAGGCCAGTCGAGTTGCAAATGCAGTGTGAAGTGTGACGTGGTTCGTTGTTTCCAGAATGTGATCGTTATAAATGTGAAATTTGCCATGCAGTTCATAAGACAATTGTGGGAAATAATAATACGAAGGACAGTTTAAACGTGCAGCTTTGTACAGCGAAGGAGTGAACTTCTGTTCAGGTAATAACAAATCTCATATTCTTGATGCTAGCATACTTGCCTGCCCTTATATACTTTGTGTACTTAAGACATGTATTGCGACTTTAAGTATTCCCTGTTAGTAAATACACGTATGTCTGCACGTGGCTGGTACGTAGTGATAAAATACATAGTACTGTAAAAGATATTTCTGATACCCAAATGTACTACAATTCTGTAAACCCGCAGCTTCATGAGCTAAGCATAAAACGATATCTATGCCTGCGTGCCTGGTTGCCAACAAACTCTCTTTGCATTGGTCGGTTCTTGAATTACGTAAATGGATGTCTGAGTATTGGCGAATCCAATAGCTGGAGACAAAATGCATTATGAGAGCCTAAAGGCGGCACTCACATTTCTCTCTTGTGTTTATCCTAAGGCCACTCGAGTTGCAAATGCAGTGTGAAATGGGAAGTGACTCCTTGTTTTCAGAATTTGATCGTTATAAGTGTGCAATTTGCCATGCAGTTTATAAGAAAATTGTGGGAAATAATAATACGTAGGATAGTTTAAACGTGCAGCTTTGTACAGCGAAGGAGTGAACTTCTGTTCAGTAATAACAGATCTCATACTCTTGATGCTAGCATACTTGCCTGCCCTTGTATACTTTGTGTACTTAATACATGTATTGCGACTTTAAGCTTCATTATATACTCCTCAGAAAATAATTCAGGACTGTCTCTCTCACAAGGCTCGTATTCAATTAACAGGGTACACAGGTGCACTGGATTCCTGCACCGATGAGAAATGATGGTAGTAAGTGAGGCTGTAGTCGAAATGGGTGCTTCAGGTGGTGACAGGGTTTTCTGTAGTAAAAAGGAGTATCGCTCAGTATGGAAGTAGCAGCTTCTCATGTCCATACGTATAAGGCATGCGCAAAGTCGATAATTGGCGCTTTATGTAAGGCAGTGGTTCTCAAACTGTGGGGCGCGACCCCCAGGGGGTGCGCGAAGGGCTTGAAAGTGGGGCGCAGCATACTTTCCTATAGATAAAAATTAAAAGTGCCCTAAATCAATTAGAAAAGTAACAAAAAATAAAAATACACATAGAAAAACATTTGATAACTACAGGCTTTAATTATCATAAATTTCAAAATAACTAATAATAATTATCTTTGCCGGCAATTATAAAATGCGTATGCCAGAGACAGCGTTGATAGTTCGGCAGCAGCCACATCCTCTGAAGTCTAGACTTTTTGAATGCTGTGTGGGGAAATGGGTGCCGAACACACTGCTCTGTTGTTTTTTAGTGATGCTCGATGGCTTTCAAGAGGCAAGGTATTAAAGAGAATGTTTAAGCTGAGGCATGAGGTGTTCTGTTTCTTAAATAGGGAAAATCACTCACTCGCAGACAGTTTCAGCAACAAGAATTTCTTATTGAAAATGGCTTACCTCCCAGATATATTTGAGAAACTAAATATCCTCAACACTTCACTTGAAGGGAATGAGGCAACTGTACTTTCTTGGAATGACAAAATGAAGGCATTCGTGAAAAAATGAGCGCTCTGGAGAAACAGTATGGAAAGTGACACGCTAGACATGTTCCCTACTCTAGTGTCAATGGTACAAGACACTGATAATCCAATGCTTCCAATGGAAATAAAAAGCTGCCTACTTGATCATCTCATAATGTTGAAAGTTCATTTCGAAAAATACTTTTGCAATGATTTTGATAAATTTAATTGGATTAAAAATCCATTCGAAAATGNGCTAAATATTGCTAAAGAAGTTAGAGTGGCCATTTCTGATATTACACCACGTTTGGATAAACTTTGTTCTCAAAAGCAGGCCCATCCATCATACTGAAATTTGACATTTAAATGTTTGATTTTCTTTGCAGAAAAAAATTAAATACGTGTTAGTTAAATATCTTTTCATTTCAGTACATACTTTGGTTAACTGCAAATGTTAAAACTAATTTTTATTGTAGGCCTAATATTGTGATACTTTAATTTTGAGTAAAAAAACTGCTAAATAGTATGTAGAAAAACACAAAATAAACTGAATAAAACGTCAAACATACAATGACTTCAATTTTGATAAAGAAAACAGGCTGGGGGCCTGAGAGTATTTCCTCTTGTCAGGGGGGGGGCTCAGAGGTAAAAAGTTTGAGAACCACTGACGTAAGGTAAAGGACTTAAACAGCCCGTTTAAGTAGAGTGCTTAAAAGGAAGCCGATATTTACTCATCCTGTAATGAATTTGTGAACGTTCGTGAAACCCAAATGTTTATTATGGAGTTAACAATGTTATGATTGTGTCCCTATACTCGTGCAGAGGAATCTAGTATATTTCTTCATAGACAGCTTACTTCAAGGTGCATTTCAATAGTATCATCCATGCCTGCGTGATCCAAGTAAGGTTTTCAGATGTAGAATATGAATACACTTCTTATCTTTCGTATGCATGTTACATGCCCAGTTACTCCACGATCTTTGATTTTGTAACGCGTGCTCTGAGCTGGTTCCCTTGATATTGAGTGACCCCAGCACCCGGCAGACGGGAAATCCGAACACAGTAGCCGCGCGGTCAAAGGCATGAACCATCTTTACCCGCTCGAACACTGGGACCGTGGGTTCGAATCCCACCCGAAGCATTCATTCTGTGCGTTTATTCTTTGTGTAGGTATCTGCCTTGCGATGGGCTGATCCCCCGTCCAAGGAGTCCTACCAAATGTATATAAAAAAGTAAAAAAAAAAAGTAAAGCTATCCCTGTACCAGGCCGTGAAGGCCCATAGGGTTGTGAGACGTTGAGGGTCCCACATTATCTAGACAGTCGGCTCAAAGATGGCGGTAAGGTTGTCGGCCTTACGCGCCGGCCGCATTTTACTCCCTAGGAAAATTATTTATTTAATTCCTGGTACTCATTTCTGTTAGAGGCTGACCAACTGTATATAGATTAATAAACTGAAAAAATGGCCAAAGTCCATAAGGGCTGTAGAGCCATGAATAGATAGACACATCGATAGATAGATAAAGAGGCAGAGGAGAATTGAACGTTAGAGGAATGATAATTGACAGGAGAACATGGAAGTGACTGGATAAAACCTATGACGCTGTCACGTGTCCCAGCACAATACCACACGAACGGCCCGCGATTAAATGAGGTTTCTGCTACGAGGAGCATATAACCACTCGCCTGAATTATGACGTGGCCCTCTGATGACCTTGATGTGTATTAGGCAGAGAATTCAGTTTACCGATTTTGGAATTTTTCTGTTCCCACCACCCACCTGATACTTTCTCCTTCGAAATATATTCTGGAACTCCATAATTCTGTATTCTACCATAGAGACGAGAGTCGAGATTCAGTTCCAAGCAAATATTTCATTATTAGAGATAAAACAGTTCCGTCCAGTGTGACTGGTGAAGTTTTTCTTGTTTCAATTTTTCATGCCCTTACAAGTTTCGGTCCTTAGAGACTATCATCACAACGCCCAACGAACAACCACAGGACATCAGTGAACCTACTACTCAAGAAAGACAGGCGTCACAAGCTCGGCCCCCGTCACGATAGGTGATCAGAGAGAGGACACGAACCTATTTGGTTTATAAATTCTAACTTAAATAACAAAAAGTTTTAAAAAATTTTAATATATCAAGACAGCCGCTGTAGTTGTGAAAGCTTTGAATTTTGTATCCATTTGTGCATTGTCACTATTGTATGTATATATGTATATTTTCACAGTCAGGACACCCATTGTAATAGTGGTTTCCAAAGTGTATCGGTGTCCCTCTGATGATGTTCTCTAAGGATCGAAACATGTAAGGGCATGAAGAATTGAAATAAGAAAAGCTTCTCGAGTCACACTGGACGGAATTGTTTTATCTTTTATAATATTTTTAGTGTGAGGGACCAGAACGAAACAAGTAAAAAAAATTTAGTTACCTAATTTTTGTGTTTCATTGGGGTTAGGTATTTATTTGAGTAGCTTATTATTATATTATTATTGTTTTACTGCAATTGGGTGTTCACCCGGTGGCAGTAGAACTTACACTGATACAGACAAGGAAAGTCTATAACATAAAGGAACAATACAAAACAAAATACAACACAGTAAACAAGGTACACACAGTGTAAATCAAAACGTACACACAGTGCAAATCTGTTTACGTATGTTACGATTAATAATGTTATCATTTTTGTTCTCATTTCTGGCGGAGGAGCTGGAAAAGAGCGTAGAAGGGTGAGATCTTTGGGGTGAGTCACAGACTGCCGAAATGTTGTTTTCAGATACAGTAGTTTATCTTCTGTTACAGATAAATACTTCACAGGAAAATAAATTTTAATTTTGATGTGAATATCTGTAATTGTAGGAGCTGCAAAAATGTAACTAAGTAACCGACCGACAGATAATTGAATCACTAATTGATTAACCGTCCGACAATTTATTATATTCCTGTACGGTTTCATCCTGCCCACGTAAAATATTTCCATGGAATCAATTTGACCCTCGAAGCGTAACAATTGAAATCAAGTATAAAAACTGAATTAAGTCTCAGAGAAAATAAATTGTATGTGATTTAAAAAGACCAGCAGGTTGCTGTTGTGTTGGGAAGTAATCACTCTCTGTTCTGAGAATCACCGCCGGTCAGTCGCGGTAATTTGTAATGTTGAGGCATGTATATATTAGTTACCAGGTATTTGGGAACATTTTATGGTAGCCTTCCATCTCATTGCTTTTTTTTCTAACAGTTTCTTTGTAACTGATTAACAACTATGCGTGCTACGGGTGTTGTATGAATGGAACATGACTTGTGTTTAATTAATACGTACAGTGCAGTTGCATTTACACGAAGATGCGTTCCTGTAGACCCTGCAGCATTCGAGACAAATTTTCAAACACATGTATGATTCTTGCGAATTTCTGGGGATTCACATTATTTCAGACTTTGCCTATAAAGTGGGACTTTATTAATATTTTTATATCGTACTCTCTCAAATTCGCGTAAAATGCCACCGCACAGTATACACACGAAAATC